TTATTATCTCATATTTCTATAGGTTAGAAGCCTCACGTGGCTCTTACTGGGTTAAAATTAAGGTGTTGGCAGGGCTTCAGTCCTTTCTGGAGGCTTAGTGGAGAATGTTTCCTTGCCTTTTCTGGTTTCTAGAGGCAACCTATATTCCTTGGCTCATGGCCCCTTCCTCCAGCTTCAAAACCAGGAAAGTTGCATCTCTCGGACTCTTCTTCCATCGTTACACCTTCCTCTAACTCTGTCAACTGGGAAAGATTCTCCTCTTTAAAGGGACCCATGTGCTTAGGTTGGGCCCATCCAAATGATTCTGGATAGTCTTCCCATCGTAAGATCTATAACCTTGATCACATCTGTAAAGTTCGTTTGGGCTTATGTGGTAACATATCTTCAGGTTCTAGAGGATTAGGGTTGGGGCATCTTTGGGGGACCATTATTCTGCCTAGCATATGGAGAGACTCCAGGAAAATGCCCTTGAATGGGGCTGGCCCACCCTCCAAATCGTGCACTGCCATGTAACTCATTTTCTTACTCACTAGAAGCCTTTAACTCTCCTCATGTCAACTGTTCCAAGGTAAGGTGGGTAGTGAAAGGCTTCATGACTTTTCCAAGAAGGTGGACAGTATATCCACAATAAGGGGAAGTAGATGACATCCATACATCATCATATACTTAAAGCTTTCTTCATTCAAAATCTTATTTCCTTGCTTTGGATTTTTGGGAGATAATAGATAACATTTTTTTTTTTTCACGCTTGCCATTTGCCAGATGCTATTCTAAACACAACAACTCTGTAAGGTAGGTACTGGATTTAACTCAGTCTGGGTGGCCACAGAGCCCACATCTATAACTACCACACATGACTGCCTTATTCCTGTGGGTCCCCAGGAATACAACCCATGATTAGAAGTCACCACAGGTCTACAATTCCTGCTCTGGAGATGCTAAAAATGATCACAACCTCACTGGGCTTTGTCAGTGTTTCCTTCAAGGCCTTGGCCATAGGCAAACCTTCTGTGTTCATCCTCATTGCCAGCTTGAGGGTCCAGGACTGTTCAGACAATGGACAACAGCCGTTTCAGCCAAGGACTGAATACTGCATGGGATTTGCCTCAGAAGAATGAAAGTTTCGCCTGGCCTCTCTCCCCTACACTTTCCACTTTGGTGCATCTAAAGTATCTAGCGCAGAACAGGGAGGCATCCCAGTTGTTGCAGGTCCTAAAACTGAGAGGTAAAGTTGGGGTAGTGCCAGTGCACATGGGTGTTGGGAGTTGGCCCAGAGAAGAGGGAGCACCCTGGCTTTGACACGTTGTAACTCATTTCCGAGCTTCACTTTCCTCTGTGTGAAATGGGCTGATCATTGTACTTAACTCTGAGAATTCCTGAGGGAAGTAAATGAGAGCATACTAACGCACACATCCTCGTGGAATCTTGAGGGGACTAATTAGCACACCCCTGTGAAGAGCTGAGATCAACTCGGTGGCACCTGTTATGCACCAAGTAAGTCTTACTATTCTGGACTCTCCCTGGGTGACTTAACCTCAAAGACTTCAACCTCAACTGCTTACACCTTCAAAAGTTTTTGCCAGTTTCCTTCTGAGCTCTAGACCTAACAGCTCTGTGTTCAACAGGACATTTCCCCATGGAAGACACACAGGGCTTGCTCATGCTCTGGGCCTTTGTATATAGTAGTACATGGTCCTTCCTAAAAAGCCAGCTGTTAAGAAAAAAAAGCCATTTTCTAGGTTTTTATACTTTGGGTAGCGAAGAATGAGACTCCTTATGCAGTCTCAAGTTAGGAGAGCTACAGGGAGGCCTTGAGTGGGGACAGGCCAGGGAGGAGTTTCAGTCATTGACTATCCCAGCTTTGTTGGCTGGATTATTTCATTGCACAAGGTCCTTTTGGGCAGCCTTCCCTTGGGAGAAAGGGCCTCACTCCTGATTACTTGGCTGCCCTTAGAGAATAGGCTGCCCTTAGAGACTCCATATGGTCCTCGAAGTCTTAGGGTGGCTTCCCTTGGAGAACCTGGAGCTTAGCTATTTTATCATGGGGCCCTCAGAGGTACTGACCCCTCTTCTGTGGGAGCCCATCCCTGAAGCCTTGGCTTTGGGTGCTCCTCCCCACAACCAGCTCAAACACTCCTGGCTTTGAGACGCCTCTCCACCTCATTAGTCATTCTCTCCTCTGCTTCATTGCGTCTGAACACTGTGTATTATAGTTGTTGATGTCCAGAGCTGGTTCCCCAACTAGGCTGTCAGCTAGCCAGGGCGGGAGGTGTGGATTATTCATATTTGTATCATCACCACTAAATGGGCCATCGCTACATATTTGCTAAGTGAATACACAACAAGCATCGTTAGTGCTGCTTTGTGGGGCCCACTGGCCTTAAAGAAGTTACAGGGGACCCTCTATACAAATCAGACCAGCTGGGTCTAGGGTGGCATTTACTTACCTGCTGATTTTTTAAAGTAAATTAGTTGTTTTTAAAATAACATTTTTAAAAACTTTTAATTTTTTAATATATTTTTGAGACAGAGAGAGACAGAGCATGAGCAGGGGAGGGGCAGAGAGAGAGGAGACACAGAATCTGAAGCAAGCTCCAGGCTCTGAGCTGTCAGCACAGAGCCCAACGCGGGGCTTGACCTCACGGACTGTGAGATCATGACCTGAGCTGAAGTCGGATGCTTAACCGACTGAGCCACCCAGGTGCCCTAAAATAACATTTTTTATAATTTGAAAATAACATGTGCATTGAAAAACATTTTTGAAGTTCTGAGTGTGTAAAGTTAAGTGCTAAAAATGCCTCTTATTTCTCTTCCAAACTAACCCCCACAGGCAAATACCAGCTGTGGTATTGACAGCTTCATTGAATACAAAATTCAGATACCATACAATTTGCTTATTTAAAATTGTATATGCAGTGTTTTTTGATATATTCACAGGGATGGACAACCATAACAACATAGTTTTGGGAAATTTTTATTTCCCCCAGAAGAAATTCAGTGTCCATGTGCTTGCTTTGGTAACACATATACTAAAATTGGAAAGTTCAGTGTCCATTAGCTGTCACTCCCCATCCCTAAGCAACCACTAATCTACTCCCTGTCTGTATAGATTTGCCATCCTGGACATTTCATATAAATGGAATCATATAGAATGTGGTCTTTTGTGTCTGGCTTCTTCACTTGCCATGTTTTTGAGGGCCATCCATGTGGTAGCAGGTATCAGTACTCAATTCCTTTTTTGCCATAACACATTTTATTAACCAATCATCAGTCACTATTAACAATTTAATACACCTCCTACAGTTGTTCAGATGGCCTGAATTTGAATCCCTAGTGGACAAGTTCCTAGATGACTGATCTTGGGTAAATCATAATGTCTTCAAGCCTGCCTCAGTTTCCTCAATATTAAAATTTGAATAACAAAAGAATTACCCCAGAGTGTCATAGTTGTATTGTCACAGTAATTAATATTTGCTGAGCACTTACTATGTGTCAGGTACTTTATAAAGATTACCAAACAGACCTATGATTTACATAAGAGGGAACTGGGGTTAGGAGAGGTTAAGTAATCTCCCAAGGTCCAACAGCCTCTAAGAAAGTGATGGAGGCAAACAGAATCACAGGCCATCTGACTGCAAAGCTTGCACCATTAACTGTTAATGTAATGGAATAACAAAGTGCTTAGTAAGTGCCTTGCAAAGAGAATGAATTTAGCAAATGATAACTGATACAACTATAAAAAAGCAGAAAAAATTAGCAATTGACATCTCATTAAAAAAAAATTTTTTTAATGTTTGAGAGACAGAGACAGAGCATGAACAGGGGATGGACAGAGAGAGAGGGAGACACAGAATCTGAAACAGACTCCAGGCTCTGAGCTGCCAGCACAGCTGATGCAGGGCTGGAAATCACAAACAGCAAGATCGTGACCTGAGCCAAAGTCAGACACTTAACCGACTGAGAGCCACCCAGGCGCCCCATACATATCTTTTTTTTTTTTTTATGCTTATTTATTTTTGAGACAGAGAGAGAGCAAGCAAGGGAGGAGCAGAGAGAGAATCCCAAGCAGGCTCTGCACTGTTAGCACAGAGCTGAATGCTGAACGTGGGGCTTGATCCTACAGACCATTTGATCACGACCTGAGCTGAAATCAAGAGTTGGACACTTAACTGACAGCCACCCAGCCACCCTGCAATTGACATATCATTTAAAGACACTTGCTATTGGTTAATATTTTGGCTATTTCCTTCCAGTCTTTAAGAACTATTTCAGACATATCCAAAGTTTAGAAGATAATGAACCTTCCATGTCTGTTTTTTTTTTTAAGACATAAAATATAGTACATTAGGTGGCTCTACCTCACATGCCCTTAGGTATTTTTTCCCTGTGCATTATTCTTTAGATTATTAGAGTAACACCACATCATTTTCTATCTTTTAATTAAAAACCCTATCTTAAGCATTTCCTCTAGCGTAACAAATATGCTACATGATTTCTCATGGTCGTATATATAATACTGGGTGGCTGAAACATGATTTATCAATTCCTCATTGATGGATATTCAGGCTATCTCCCTGAAAAAAATATCACTACAAAACCACCTTTCTTCAAGCATCTGATAATTCCCTTTAGATAAATTCCTAGAAAGGCTGGAAGGTCAGAGTCTTACCCTTACAGCTTTTTAAAAAATGTTTATTTTTTTATTTTTGAGAGAGTGCGAGTGAGCGCTAGTAGGGGAGGGGCAGAGGGAGAGGGGGTCAGAGGATCCAAGCAGGCTCTGCGCTGGCAGCAGAGAGCCTAAAGAGGGCTCGAACTCAGGAACTGTGAGACCATCACCAGAGCCAAAATCCACGCTTAGGGACTGAGCCACCCAGGCACCCTTACAGTTTTGTGTGTGTGTGTGTGTGTGTGTGTGTGTGTGTGTGTGTGTGTATGTGTGTGTGCGCGCGCGCGCCAAATAGCTCTCAAGAAGAGTGATAACGAGAAGGGAGGCTGAGGGTTTTTCACTTTTTAAGACGTTTTATTCAATTACAACATACATAAAAGTGGACAACTCACTGAATTTTCAGAAACAGAACACACGGCGCCACACCCAACATCAGGATCATGAAACAGAACATTTCCAGCAGCACAAAGCCGCCTTGCGCTTCCACCAGGCGTCCCTCAACAGTTTCAAGCCCCGCAACGTGAAGCGCACAGAAGTCTGGCTGCATTGAGGTCTCCGGCCCGGTCCGCCAGGTTCCCGGCATGCAGCGCGGCGATCCCGACGTGCCCCGCGGCGCGCGGAGCCGGCTACCCGGTGCGCTGTGAGGAGGGCGGAAGCGGTGGCGGCGTAGCGTGAGGCTGCGTGTGCGCTGGCGGGCGGAGGCGACAACTCGGGGTCGACATGGAAGTGTAAGTCATCCAGGGCGCGTTCCCGGGCTCGCGCAAGTGTCCACAGCTGGGGACGGCTGGGTCGAGGGGAGCCGAGGGCGCGGGCTTGGAGCGCACCTTGTACGAGCGTCGGGGAGGGGGGGGGGTGGTGGTTGGGGAAGGCTTGGGGCGGGAGGCGGGGAGGAAAGGGACCCTCGCTCTGCCTCTTGGAACCTTCGACCCTACTCCCACCCAGTGCTTGGGACGCGGGGCCCAGCGTGGCTTGGCCTGACGGTCTATCAGTGTGCCTGCTTCCTCCATCGTTCATATCCTAGCGTGACCTGGTTCCCAGTGGGGAGCTCAGCCCGGTGTTCCGGCGGGGACTTAGACGGTGTAAAGCCCTGAGTCCGCCCTGGGGGTACCTGCAGGAGAGATGGAGAAGTGCTGGATTAGAGTTTGGGGCTTACCTTGGGGAGCCCTAACTGGGAAGAAGGCCTCTCCGAGTTTGCCCAGCAGTTCGCCTTGCAAGGGAAGGGGCGGGTTTTCTGGGAAGAAGGAAGTACTGGAGCTAGGACTGGGACCTCAGAAACTTCTTCGTGTGTATGATGTTTGCTTGTTGTGCTGCGTGCAGATGAATTTTTTGCTGCTGCTCCGCATGTGGGTTTTTCCATGGTTCACATTAACTTGTAGGCATACCCATATCGTGTTCTCTTTGGCATTGATTATTTAATACTCACATTTTCCTTTGTGTTGTTTTGCTTCATGTTTAATGGTCATGTATACTACTATTTTTCAGATTTTTAAAAAACACAATTATATATATGTAACAAATGAAAGCTTCGTGAAATAATACTTTTACTGTATTCAGTACACTGTTATATTGTTTCTTATTAAAAAAGAATGATGGGGCACCTGAGTGGCTCAGTCGGTTGGGTGTCTGACTTCAGCTCAGGTCATGATCTCACAGTCTGTGAGTTCGAGCCCCGCGTCGGGCTCTGTGCTGACAGCTCAGAGCCTGGAGCCTGCGTCAGATTCTGTGTCTCCCTCTCTCTCTACGCCTCCCCTGCTCATGCTCTGTCTCTCTCTCTCTCTGTCTCTCTCTCAAAAATACATAACAACATTTTAAAAAATTAAAAAAGAAGGCTGACCCACTAAATTGATTTTGCAGTTCATTAATGGGGCTTAATCTACATCTTGAAAAACATTCAGATATATTACTGTAGCCCAAGCTATTTCCAATTTCCCCCTCTTTACTAGAGTATTCACTGTCATTAAACAGTCCCGCTTTAATTTATCCATCTTTAAAAATTCCTTGTCCCCATATTTCTGCCCACTTATTGCTCCATTTCTGCTTCCCCTCAGAACAAAACTGCTTAGAAGTGTTTTTACACCCTCATTCTCAGAAGTGTTTTTATTCCCTCATTCTCAGTCTGTTGGGCTTTTATCCACACCAATCTATAGAAATGGTTTTGTGATGATTATCTGAGCCCTCCATCTTGTCAAATTCAAAGGTTGATTTTCTGTCTCAATCTTCTTGATCTCTTAGCAGCAGTTGATACAGAAACTGTCAATTGTACTTGAAAAACAAAACAAAACGAAAAACTCTAGAAACTTGGGCCTTGCAACATGCTGTCTGCATTTTCTCCTACATCAAGGACTGCTTCTCAGTCTCCTTTCCTGGTTTATCCTTCCTCCCTTGCTTGGCTTAAATGTTGCGGTATCTTATGGCTCAGTCCCAGGACCTCTTTCTCTTCACACCCTCCCCTTGGTCATTTTACCCATTTATATGCTGATGACTCCCAAAAGTGTATTTCTAACCCTTTCTCTCATCATCCATCCAATTGCTTAGTCCAGAAATCAAGCCCTCCTTCCTCATCCCTAAATCTAGTCCATCAGTGAGACCTGTCATCTCCACCTTCAGTATATTTTGTATACAGTTACTTTTCACCATCTCCATAGCTAAATGTAGTCTGTCATCTCTGGTCTAGATTAGTAGCCTTTGGCTTCCACTCTTGTCCCCCCCTCTTCTGTTTTCCAGTCAGCAGACAGAGTAATCTTAAAATATTAATTGGATCAACACATCCCCTATTAAAACTGTTCACTTTCTGTTGTACTAAGAGGAAATCCACATTCCTTACTAGGACCTATATGACCCTGTATAACCTCACCTATTCACCAACCCTCTCTTGTGCTACTGTCCCCACCCCTAAACACACACACTTTCCACTGGCAGGTAGTTTCTGTAATCTTCCAAGCCCTTTACTACCTCAGGACCTTTGCTTTACTGTTCCCTCTGCCTGGTATACTTTTCTCTTTGTCCTGCTCCCTCTTTATCTTTTTGATAGTTCAAGTTGAATGTTGCTTTTCCTCTTTAGCCAATCTAAAATAGGTCCTTTTGTCTCTTACAAGCACCATAGTTTACTTTTCTTTTGAATAATTACAAGAGGTAACAATAGATGAATGTTTACCTGTTTAGTACCTTGTCTCCCTCCTGAGAACGGTCCATGAAGGCAGGGACGCATGCATTAGGTATTCAGCAGATAGTTGTTGAATTAAATAATATAACAGTACTTCACTAATTTGATAATTTAATTAAAAATTCATACAATTGAGTTAGCTAGTTTCCTAATTGCTGAGCATTTTCTGATTTAGATTTTCTGATTTTCCTAAGTGAAATGGTTTGAATCAAGAGTTTTTTCTCCTAAAGCAACCTATCCATTTCTCCCAAGGACTCATTGACTTATTAACACTAGTCAAGAATTTTGCAGTGAGTGATTTATGGGAAAGTGAGGTTTCCAGAGAGTGGAAGGACCCCTGAAATGGAAAGATCTGGAGGCCTAACTTTAGTTCCTGCCTGGCCACCAATGTGAGGTATGATCTCTGGCAGGTGTGGTCCTTAGCATCTTTAGCAGAAGCCTGAGTCTCTACGAGCACAAACATTGTACCTCTTTCAGGCATTCCTAGGACCTGGAGGGAGGAGGCATGAAAGGAAAACTTCTCTGAGTTTTTACTACTTTTTTTCCATCAGTTGCTGAGTAAATACTTACTGAGTGAATAATACATGTAGACATACACTATAAGTTTTTTTTTAAGGTGATGAATATTTATGCTTTATTTGATTGAGTGCTAGAATTTAAAAAATAAAAACTTGTTCACCCTCATTTGGATACATTTTCCTCGGGTAAAAGGTTACAAAATATTCATAGGAAAATTAACTATTGGTATATATAAGGTATTTGCTATTTGCGTAACTTTGTCTAATGCCTTGGGATTGTTTATATACCTGGAAAGCTTTGTGTTCACTCTTTTATTCTTGAATTTAATATACATAGGGAAAATGGACTATCTTCTCTATAATCCTTTTGAGATCATGTCAGAATTCCTTCATTTTACAGCTGGAAATACTGAGATTTAGAGAAGTTAGCCGAACAGGTCCTGTAACAGGACTGGAAAGAGGATATTTTTTTGCTAGCTCCCGAGAGAATGCTACAGATTAAACAGTTCATTGACTTTGAAGGCTGCCCAGTTTTCTTGTACTTTAGTTTTTCAGAACGTGACTTGAATCAAAGGTTGAACATAGGAGAATTTGAGCAGTTCTGTTCATCATTGCATGCGTAAATTAACTGTGTGGCAGTTAAAAGGTGCTGTTTGTATGTGTATGTGTGTTTCTAAAGAAAGGTCTGCCAATAGATCATTTTGTTCTGTTTATTCAGAATTCGATTTTCCAAAGTAGTTGTTTGCATCCCATAAATGACTCAGCAAGTTAAGCAAAATTACACATTACATTTCAAATAGCAAGTCAACTTCAGTCAACTAATTCATTACTTAAGGAGATTAAGTAACTCCTACATGTAAATATAGATTCAAACAATCTTTAAAATTCACTTGGAATATTTGCTTTAAACATCTGGAAATAAAATCAGTACTAGTTTAAGTCCTTTAGGAGAATATGAAGTTTTGTGTAGGTGGGGAGTTTCTAGAAGTCTGAATGCTTGTGAATGTATTACATAATACTGAAGTGTAAGTTATATAGAGAGCAGACAATTCCTGCTCAGTAGAAACAATGGCTTGTAAATATATAATTGACAGATTATAGTCACCCTAAAAAACATTGGAGGAAAATGCATTTTATGTCCTTAATTATAAGTTATACTACTGTCTTTTTTTAACATTATAGAATTCTTTAGTTTTACATTTCCATTTTTGTCAACTTTTTAGTTTGAAAAATTCCAAACCCATAGAACAGTTGCAAAAAGAACACCATAAATACCTTTATACCCTCTATCTAGAGTCACCGTTTGTTAACATTTTGATATATTTGCCTAATCTCTCTCTCTCTCTCTCTCTCTCTCGCTCTCGCTCTCGCTCTCGCTCTCTCTCCACACACACACACACACACACACACACACACACACTACTGAATCATTTCAAAGTTGGAGATATCGTGTCATTTTATCCAGTCATAAAAATGTATTCTATTTAACTGCAATACCATTGTCACACCCAGGGAATTTAGCACTGATGTACCAGTATCATTAAACTACAGCCTATATTAAAATTTCTCCAGTTGTCCCAACAATGTCATTTTAGCTGGATTTTTTTTAACCACCGATTCAAGATCCTTTCAAGAATCATACATTTTTAATTGTCATACAGCTTGTAGTTGTCATAGTTCTTTAATCTCCTTTAAGAAGTTTCCTAACTTGTTTTTGTGACACTGACATTGTTACAAATGACGTTGATATTTGAAGAGTCTGAACCATTTGTTTTAAAGTATGTTCCTTAACTTGGATTTGTCTGGTTATATCCTCATGACTGGATTCAAATTAAAAATTCTTTGACAGGGTTGCTGTAAGGGATGTGTCTTTCTCAGTGCATCACATCATCATTGGTGCTATTAAATTAGATCATTTGATTTAGTTGATGCCTGTCCAGTCTTGCCATACCCTGGTCCCAGCAACCTGCCACTTAGTGGTGGTTATAGTAGGATAAAAGCTGTTTTTAAAAAATTTATCAATATATACATTTCATTCAGGAATTGA